GGAAGAGCGAGATAAATAGAGAGAGAGAGAGCGTTTACTTTGGTATCCGCTATTGCTGTGTACTATTCACCCGGCTATTCACTGTGCTATTAGTGCACATTTCCATTTACCTACGAACACATGCTATTATATAATGCCCGTGACAAAAACCATATGCGCTTTATTTCACCGCATGTATTCAGCCTGGCAAATATTGTTTGCGGTGTTCCATTAGAATGAGTGATGGTGGGGGTTATTTTCCGGACACCGGATTGGACCATTATTATTAAGNCAGCAGCGCGAGGTTAGATATGGATCCGGCAGCGCACGGTTTCTCTCGCGGTTCAGTCGCATCCAGCCTGCTGGTCAGGCATCGTGGGTCTAAGCCGACGTACTGGGGCTGTGCCTACACGGGCGCCTGCAACTCGGCGCGGAAGTCCTGCGATCATCGTGGACCGATGGAGGCGACGGTGTCGAGACTGCGCGCTGCCTGCTGCAGGACTGATAGCGGCGATACGACGAGCGGCAACGGACACGAGGTCAGCGCGGCGACTCACGTGTCCCCAACAACCGAGCAGCGGTGAAGCACGACGATAAATGATGACGATGCTGACGCGGTGGTGACGACGACGATCGACGATGCTGTAATGCTGGGGATGGACGACGATTCGCACGATGCGCTGCGAGTGCTGTCTGTGAGCGACGACGATTGTCTTATGATGGCACGATGCTTGATGGTCCCAGGCCCTCCGCGACCGATAAACGAATGAACGATGCTGTGGTGACCACTGGATACGCGTGACGAGGTGATGACGATGATGGATGTCCTGATGACATGAGATGCGTGTAGGTGAGCCAGATGAGCTGAGTGTATGGACTCGAATCTGCAGCTGACGTGATGATCGATGATGGTGAGCTGAGTGTGATGCCCGATATGATGATGATGCATGAATGGGTGATTGTATGATGAGGCTGATGGTGGTGATTGATATGCTGACGGTGGGTGATGATGATGAGATGCTGATGATGGTGATGACGATTGAGTTGGCTGACGGTGGTGTTGACAATGATGAATGCTGATATGTCGGTGATGACGATGCATGATGCTGATGATGGTGATGACGATGCTGGATGCTGACGGTGGTGATGATCAATAAGGATGCTGATGGTGTGGATGACGATTAATCGATCGCTGATGGCTGGTGAGGCGATTGAATGATGCTGATGGTGGTGCAATGACGATGATTGATGCTGATGGATGGTTGTATGAACGATGATGATGTTCTGACAGTGGTGATGTCGATGATGATGTTGATGGTGGTGATGACGATGATGATGCTGAGGGTGGTAGTGATGATAATGATGCTGGTGGTCATGGTGATGCTGATGATAGTGATGACTACGATGATGATGATGATGATGGTGATGTCGAGGATGGCGATGATGATGGCGACGACGACGATGGCGGTGGCGGTAGTGATGACAATAACAGCAATGGTAACATTCATGACATTCACTCATTGGATCGCTGATGTATGTGTTCATATGCTTACTAACAGCTGAAGGGCAGCGCAAGCAGTTTAAAGATAGGAGTAGTGAGACAGGAAGCTTTGCCAACTGCCACGATCCAGTGAATGGCAATAGTGAGGGGAGCGCTGGATAAAGCCTGAGAGCTGCCGGGGCAAGCGTGTCGAACAGATGTCGTCTATACCGGCACTTCTTATGCGGTTAAGTACTTTGAGCCTGTCTCTCTGCTCTCTCCCCTCTGCTCGTGCAATCTCTCTTCTCCCAGAGACAATTCCAATTAGTTTGCAACTTTCAATGAACTGAATATTTGCTTCTAAAAACAAATCTAAGAATGCAGTGGCCGACATGGATGCAAATGCATTTTGGCTTGATTTTTCCAGGTCACGACGCTGGTTTTTCCATGCGTTAGCACAAGGGATAAGCGAGATATGCTGAAAGCAGAGGTACGACTGGTCAAACTGAAATCTGCCAACGCCGCTCGTTATTTTACTGAGTTTCTAATAATTTGGGTCGAACACTCTGTTTTGAATCGGCACCCAGGTTGATAACTTGACCACGATCGTTCTACTATTGCATATTAGTACTGGTACCTATACAAAACTCGAATAGTTAATACAATGGGCATTATAGCATTCGATTGAAAATTCTAAAATAATTTTGGTCGTTCGTTAAGTTTGATCTTGTTAATTATTTAATCACTTCATCACTGTTAATTATCTTAACAATGTGTAGGTGTTAACATCGGGAATTGTGTGATGCAGTCTACGGCACTGGCGGATGCACAGAGACGTGGCTTCCGCGCACAGGGACAGTGCCTTTCCTACACTACCAAGCTGTTCCTGCTAGCCTCCGAGTACGTGCGTGAGGAATACGGATTCCACTTCTACTCCAAAGCACGAAACATTAGCCATGAGGTAGGTGAGAGAGTAGTGGTGGGGCCACCTAGACACTTAGCTGGGAGGTAGTAGCAAGAAATTTTGATTTGGCTTGAAATATTTTACTTTTTATAATAATAATAATATATTTAACATAATATCAAATTATATGTATGCATGTAACAGGTGACAGCTTGCTACAATGCAGTTCTTGAGAAGTATGACGTGCTAGCTATGCCAATCCTCATCTATCCGGCACCAGACATACCGACAACCGCGACCCCTATAAAAAGTGAGCCTAGCCTTTACACACATGAACATGAATACATTCGTCAACCGGTTCATAATGTGAATAAGTAAACCGTGACATTTTATTTCGTTAATTATACAAATTACAGTGTGATAGAGGCAATCATTACAAGACACAACTATAGCAGTTAGTTGATGTAAACGCACGCGTAGTCTAGGATTGAACGTTGTTGGCTAACACATCTAGACAAGTAGTATTGTACGTACACTCTAAACAGGAGCGTAAATAGCAGCATTAGAACTCGTATGAACCCATGTATCATCCCCAGTAAAACTATGATGTAATGTGTCACTGTTGAGATGACAGCGCGTGCTGTCTCACTCTTTCTCCGCCTTTCCCTTTCTCTGTCTCTCTGTGTGTGTCTCTGTCTCACTTTCTACTCTCTGTCTTTTCTTCTTTCTCTTTCCATCTTTTTCTTTCTATGTCTCGCTCTCTCCACACAAACTCCCGCTGTCTCTCTCATACACACTCTGCCTCTCTTTCTGTCACATACTGTGTCTTGCTTTCTCTCTCTCGCTCTTTCTCTCTCTCTCAATCTCTCTCTCTCTCTCTCTCTTCTTCCTATCTCTCTCTCTCTCTATATATATATATATATATATATATATATCTTGCCCTCTGTCTTTCTCTTTCTCTCCCTCCTCTCTCTCTCTCTCTCTCTCTCTCTCTCTCTCTCTCTCTCTCTTGCCCTCGGTATATCTCTTTGAGAGCTCTTGATGGCAACATACAATGCTCGTGATTGCAGAGATGATCGACCATACCATCGGCATGCTGCAGAACACAGTCGCGTTCAACGTCACCGGACATCCGGCGATCTCCATCAACGCTGGCTTCACGGCCGACGGCCTTCCCGTCGGTCTCATGCTCGTCGGCAAGCTGTGGGATGACGTCACCGTGCTCGACGCCGCCTACGCCTGGGAGCGGCTCCGCGGCGCAGACGACACACCCCGCGTGTGATGTCACGCGGCGTAGGGCACGGCCTGCCGTGACGTCACACGCCACCGCAGACGACACACCCCGCGCGTGCTGTGACACGGCGCGAGGCGCGGCCCACCGTGACTTCACACGCGGCCGCCGACGCAGGACGGGTTCTGATGCGGACGCGTGTGTCATTCCAGGCGGGAACACGAGACAGCGCATGCGATCAGAAATCCGAGACCGTGTGAGGAAGTGCGGCCGCTGCTCTACGTACAATAACTGGATAGCGGGATGTCGTGTCACGGCAGTGCTAGCGGAAGTCTCCATGTCAGTGAAGAGTCCATAATATAAAATCATGCGTATCATGATACTCTTTTTTTCTATTATGGACTCTTGATGTCGGTCGACCGTCGAATCCGTTGTGTGTTTTAGTACGGCAATGTGCATTAGAATATGCAGCTGCTTCATTGCTCGATATTTGGGCTGATCAGTGTGGTGGCCGCATGATATTAGATAATTCCCCCAATGAACTATCCAGTTATTATATATTATCCATATATAGATTAGTGGTTATGGCCTGCAATGATGTCACACAGCCGTCAAAACGGTGACATATGACGACGTTGTGGTGACGACTAGTTCTAACCACGAAGGCTGGTGTGACACTTCTCAATGACGTCTTATACATATATACGAATAATATACATATATATATATATATATATATATATATATATATATATTAATCTGTTAATGCGATAGATATTAATCATATGTAATTACGCGTATAACCATGTTGAAAAGTGTCACAGCAGCCCATGTTTTCTCTCGTGTGAGTTCATGTGGAGAGAGAAACGTGAGACAGAGTGGGTGAGAGAAATCCAGCAAATATATGTGTTTGATCAATGCAACTACAATCAAAAGGGAAAAAAGGAAAATGGAATTAAATATAGGAGTAGGTGGATCGGTTGCAAAACGGGTAATCAAAATAAATATTGAAAAATCATAGGTCGTCACCAAAGCAAGGTCGCTAGATTAATTTACTAGGCCATGAGCGATATGTGCTCCATTGAAATTACATAATTATGTAGTCTGGCGGTGGAGGATGCTTTTGGATCGAGGACCACCCTCCTTATCTTAGAACAAAACACTACCAATTTTTTCTATAAATTAATATAATCTATGTTAGCCAGTGATAGTCTAATCATTTAATATTAATAAATATATACTAGTTGTCCAGACTAGCGTTATCTTGTATTTATCAAAAGTTAATAGATAAAGAGTAAGTTTATAGATACAGAACAGTTGGTGCTTATCAGCATGGACATGCATAGACACACCAGTAACTAAATAACTAGTAGAATATATAATTTATGTGATGGCCACCGTGGATGGACTTGCGTGTTGGGATGCTTACGTCTGCATGAACTGTATAATGATGATCATATACGAGGCGAAGGCACCGAGAATCTGCAACACGTAATACGGAGTGACGTCAGAGACGCTCCTGGTGATATCGGGACCGGAGCTAATAATATTATTAATATTATTAGATCTTGATGATATCTATATAGCTATATATACCTATATTTACATCTATATCTATCTATCTTTCTATCTCTATCTTTCTCTCTCTCTCTCTCTCTCTCTCTCTCTCTCTCCCTCTCTCTCTATACTATATATACTAATATAAGTATAATATATACTATATCTATCTATCTACTAATATATACAAGTAAAGAACACCACACGGACACCTATGCAAGAAAGGAAAGAATTATGCATAAAAAGTGACACCTCGTTTTATTATCTTTATACATACTTTTCTATATCTGCATGTGTGGTCCCGTGTTTTTACTATTTATACCTATATCAAGAGCTGATAATACCGCTTGCATATATTAATCTATATACCCTAGCTGTGTCTATAATATATATATATATATTATATATATATAATATATATATATATATATATATATATATATAAAGTATGTTAAATATATATATCATATGCCCAGCACATTGTTGATCTAGCAAGTTTACGACGAGTCCACCATCATTTTCTCCCGGGTTCGTTCCTACCCTCTAATCCCTCTCTCTCGCCTGTCTGCCGGTCTTTTACTCAGTACTGGTTTCTCCGCCTATCTCCACCTCTCTCTCTCCTCTCTCTCTGCTCCCTGTACTCGTCCCTCCCTGCCTCTTGCTCCTTGTCTCCGCTGTTTCTTTTCCGCATTCTTCATCGTTTCGTTATCACGTTCCCCTCATGTTGTCTGCTAGTCTGCCCCTCATTTTTTCTCTCGTTCTCGATTAGTCGCTGGTGCCCACCGCCTTGCGTCTCTGTTACACCTCCTAATCGCGCTTGCTCTGCCGGGCTGTCTCGACCTACAACACATTCACGCGCGTAACCACGCAACACACGTATCACTACGCACGCACACACACGCCGGCGACAAGCCATCACATGTACATAATTTATACATCGCTAACTCAGCATGAACATGTACATAATATACATTCCAACACTATCCCACCAAGCACACCACTGCACATTACACACACACACCACACCACACAACAATACTCACACTACACTCACACGCCCACAAACACACACCTCCACACACACACCACACCATTGCAACACACACTCCACACAACTAGACCACACCCACACCCACACTACCATCCCGTGGGCACATACCCGCTTGCCCATGATTCCATAACCCACAACATAATGCCTACTCTTACGGCGCACTACTATGCCCGCTGGCTGACTGCTCTCCGCCCACCTGCCCTGCACACTCACACACTCACCTCAACACGGAAAGCATCCCAACCTACTGCCCTCTGCCACTTCAACGCACCTAACTCCCCTAATGCACCACATCCCTCTGACACTATACACTAGCGATAACTGCACACATCCATATGCCACTCATGCCACTTACGCACACTAATGCCAACTCACTCACCTGCACTTCACTGAGCCACTAACCACACACACTACACCGTAGTATAAACCACACCCAACCTAAAAATGCAACTGAAAAGATCACCAATGCACAATGCCACCCAATCAGAAACCAATGCCACCACAATGCACAAATGCCTATTAACTAGCACTATTCAGCTACTGCATATCATGCAATATTGACTACCTTTGACACTACATGCATTCAAAACTATGCACTTAATGACATCACGAATGAATACAATGCTCACCATATGCACATATACATTATCACTAATGCAAACTTGACGCACTACGTCGCACATGCAGCCCATACCATGCACTATCCACCATCACTAGCACTATGCCTAGCGCTATGAACTACTGGCCCCTACTACCAGCGCGCGAGAGCTCAATACATTATGCACCACTCTGCCACTCTGCACTGATGCACTAATCACTACACGTGTATCACTAATCACTAGTGCAATATGCTTATGCACTCATGCACTAACAGTGTATGCACTACTCACGAGCACGATGCACATGCATATGCGACTAATGCAGTAGCACCTAATGCACCATGCCCTATCTTCACTATGCACTTCTGCACTATGCACTATGCACGTGCACTATGCGCTTATGCACTAAAGCACTATGCCTAGAGCCATGTACAATGCACCATGCACTATGCAGTTAGCAACTATGCACTATGCCACTATGCACATGCACCATGCACCGATGCACTATGACACTATTGCACTATGCATATCACTATGCTATGAACTCATGCGCTATGCACTCCTGCACTATGCACTTCATCACTCGTGCGCTACTAATGCAACAGGTTATATGCACAAATGCACTATCGCCATTATGCAAGTTACTGCTATTCTGCACTATCACACAGCTGTATCACTATGAGCACACGCATGCCAACGCATCACTATGCCCTAATGCAAAATTAAAAGACTCAGACGTATTGCACTATGCACCAAATGCCACATCAGCGACTCATCACCACTTATGGCACTGTGCCATATCGTCGCTATCCACATACTCACACCTTACTGCACTATGCACTATCACTCATTACACCATCAACTCTGCCCAGAATGCGACTGGTACTGACAACCTCCCACGCGACTCCACTGCCATTATGCCTATGCACTAACGCACAATCCAGCACCATGCACCCATGCACTAATACACCAGCATGTAAGATGCACAGTACTTGCCCCACCACCCAGTAAATAGCCACTAGATCGACAATAATGCGTTATTTAGCACTAATGCCCATTATGAGCCTCTAGCAACCCTTATGACACAATTGCTCAACTCCCTGCGACTACAAAGGTCACAACGCAGTGAGAGACACCTATGCCACGTGACACAACTAGCATGTGCCATATTCACCAGGATCACATAATGAACGATGACCATCGCATTCGCGGAGGCAACACGTGTGCGAACACTAGTTCGCACATAAAGTGCGACCATTATCACGTTATTCTCACTCTATGCCACTAAGCATCTGAGTCATTATGCAGTCTAAAGCGTCAGCACGCTACTACGGTGTATGCACCCAGCACGACTGCAGATGCCGAATGCCTTAATGCACTCTGCACTTCTACCACGTATCTACGCAGACCATCAATAGAGCAAGCTACTGATACTGATCTTACCTGAGCACTAATGCACACACCTCCTACGTGTACTATGCCTATTTCACTATGGCACTATAGCACATACGACCATCGAGTGTAATGGCATCGAGTCGAAACGCTGCACTAAATGCAAAGCACTCATCGACTACTGCCACCATGCACCTATGCACTATGCACCATGCACACAACTGACAATAGCACCGAGCGAGAGCCAGCACCACTGCACCCCCTGCACACACACATCGACAACAAGAACATCACACACTATGCCACTCATGCGCTACTGACTTAGCACTTGCACTATAGCACACTCTGCCGTCGCACCATCATTATGCACTGTGCACTAATGCACTAACTGCCTATGCATCTAACAAATTCATCGCATCGTGATAGTCCAAGACTCTCGCCAATTAAAGTAGCGAAACAGTTGAGTCTATGCAACTTATCAACGTCATGCACGAATGCACTATGCGAGTATACACAAATTGTTGCACTATGGAAACTATAGACCAATAACTACTGATTAAGCAACTCACTAAATGCAACAAATGCACCTATGCGCAGTATGCGCACATTATCACTCATCGACCACTCATGCATTCTGCACTCGTATATTACACTTCACATGCATGTTATGACTGACATTCTGCATCGATGCTAGGACGAATGAAAAAATGGGCTATTGACATCGATCATCATTTATCCGACTATCGCAGTAGTCACCTATTACTCACCAAATTTGCACTATATTACACTCTAAATGCATAGGTATTTCACCTCATAATTCGTTATATGACTATGCCTATGCACTATCACTCATGCACTATCGCACTATAAATAAATACACAGCTATGCACTAACAGTGTTGCACCATGCACCATGCCTATCACTACTAATATCTACAATATTGCAAACTTGCATATGCACTATGCCCTAATGCACCAATAGCTACAATGCAGTACCAATTATCACACTGAATCTACTGCATCATAATGCAGCTTATTGTCACTATGGCACCATAGCACTATCAGTATACATATGCACTACGCATAATGCATAATCGCAACTATGCACTTACT